CATAACTTATACATAATAAAAATTAATTAAACAAAAAAGTGGAATAATAAAAATAATACAGATTTGGAAGATAGCTCAGTAGATATCATATAATTCAACAATTCCACTTGTAGGTATAATGAAAATAAAAATATATGTTTCACAATGACTTGGAAGCAATCCAAATGTGTATCAAACTAGAGAATAAATAAGAAAAGTAATATAGTGGAATACTATTTGCAGTAAAAAAAATGAACTATTCACAAATGCAACAATTAAGAAATGCCAAAAATGCTATTTAAGTAAAGAAAGCTAGACACAAAATACTACATATCTTTCCATTTATCTGAAATGCCCAGAAAAGGCAAATTTATAGAGATAGAAAACAGATCAGTGATTACCTGGAGTTAGGAAGTGGAAGTGGTGATTGATTGCAAATGGTCATCAGGAAAACATTTGTTGTATGTGAGTGTCCTAAAACTGCATGGTCAAAGTAATTTGACAAATCAATTTATTTGAATTTATCAAATAGTATACTTACAATTGGTGAATTTTATAGTAGTTGAATTGTCTCTCAATCAAAATTAAAAATGAGTTCGTGATGGGTCAGCCAGTGGCCTGGTGGTTAAGGCAGTTGGATCCCACATGGCTGATTGTGCAGCTGTGCAGTTCAAGTCCTAGACTCGGTGGCTTGAAAAACATGCTTTATGCACATATGTACATGCCCCAAATCTCGAAAGGCGGGAGAAGTGGAGGAGAAGACTGTGGCATGATCATCCCCTATAAGGTGTGCTTTTTCACTTTCTCTCTCTCTCTGTGTCTCTCTTCGGACAGTGTGTACCACCTTGGGCAAATTAAACAAAAACAGAAACAAAACAACTGAAAAAAAAAGGGTTAGTGAGTTCTTTTAGATTTTGACCGTTTATATTCACTAGTCCTTCAGTTCTTTGAGAGAGACGCAATCCTTTTGAGCATGTCTTTGAAAGCTTGTATCACTTGCTTGTTTCTCAGAGTGTAAATGAAGGGATTCATTACTGGGGCAATTGAAGTCATGAGCACCGACACCATCTTATTCATAGCAACCCCTTCCTTTACCTGTGGTTTAATATAGATGAAGATGCGGCTTCCATATGTGATAGAAACCACAATTATATGGGAAGAACAAGTAGAAAAGGCTTCTTTCCTTTGTTGGACAGAAGGGAATCTCAGAATGGTTCTGATGATATATATGTAGGACAAAATCACACACACCAAGGTGAAAATGAGAGTCAACACAGCCAGCACCAAGACAAACTGCTCTAAAAACTCTGTATCAGAGCAGGAAATCTTCAGGATGGGGGCAGCAGCAGCATCACAGCCAAAGTGATCTATGACATTGGAGTCACAAAACTCCAGATCAAATCCCATAATATAAGGTGGGAGGACAATGAGCAGTGCTAAAATGTAGCAGCAAATAAGGAACCTGATGCAGACCCTGTGGTTCATGATGGTCATGTAATGCAGAGGCTTGCAGATGGCCACGTAGCGGTCATAGGACATGGTCGTGAGGAGGAAAAACTCCGTCACACCCAGGACGATGACAAAAAAATAATTGAGCGGCACAGGGTTGTAAGTCACTGTGTTGTCCCCAGTAGCAAGATACAAGTATCTGCGAATACAGACAGTGGTAAAAGAGGCTTTTAAGAAAGAAAAATTCTGGAGAAAGAAGTACATAGGAGTTTTAAGGCAAGAATCCACAAAAGTAAGGGCAATGATTGTCAGATTCCCAATGACACTCAGTAGGTAGGTGATGAGCAAAAAGATAAAAAGCAGAATCTGTAGACTTGGTGACTTCTGCATGTTCTGTGGTAAAGAACAAGGTAGAAATTGGAGATGAGTATAGTTCAAATGGATTAAAAGTAAGAGTAGAGTGAAAACACTAGGCAAGCCAATATTACTCATGCTGTTCCAAGATTCATGCAATAATATGGCCAGAATGCTGGTACTAAGAATTTCTATAGCTGTACTAATGATTAGTCTACTGTAACAGAACTTCTAGATTAAACAACCAAGCCCAACCCCCCTAAACTAAAGCTGGAATGAACCTCTCTCAGAAGGTATCTGTCACATAAAAACAGAAACAAAACACTACCACAAATCATATAATGGCAGCAGACAACGTGTTGGTTTGAGATATGAACGCAGGAACTTGATTGGGCTCAAATTATGTTTTTTTTAGTATAACTTTAGGAAAATTATTAACCTCTATGCCTCAATTTCTTTATATATAATCTACAGAGAGTAATTGAATTCATCTCCTAGGATTGTTAAAGGAATAAATAATTTGGGAATCAAGGACGAGGGAAAAAAAGCAAAACATATAGAAAACAAGAAATGGAAAATTACTTGTTGATGATAACATGTATGCTGATGTGCTTGATTGAGCCAATATACAGTGTACTCGGGATGGAAAATCTCATTTTGTATGCTGTAATGATGTACAGTGAATGAATGTAAATAAATAAATTTAAATGAAAAAAAAACCCCAAAAAACTAAAGGAATAAATAATTTAATTAATCCACTTAGAAAATTATTTGGCTTATAACAAGTACTATATAAGGGTTTGCTTTTATTATTATTGTTGTTATATATAGGATTTTAGAATTGATGATAATAATCTTTTTGGCCTTAAATACTGTGTATCTTCTTTCAGAATAATGTGGATAGGTTTATAAACAAGTAAAGTTTCTAAAACGTCTCCTCCTCTTAATCTCCACCTTTTCTGAACTCCACAGCCAACTACACTCATTTAAAAGAACTATTAACTTTCTCATTGCTTCATTTTCAAAACGGGAAAAACCAAAACGAAACAACATCTCAAATTCATTTCTACATAGCAATCAGGGTAATCTTTTAAACAGATACATTGAATAATGGCATTCCCTTGTCTCATACCCTTTAGTGGCTTTCTTCTGTACTTGAGAAAAGACCCAAATTCCCTACTTCGGCCTGCAAATTCTCACATGATCTGGCTCCTGCATCTCTCTCCGACCTCGGCTTTTTTATTTGTTCCCTCATTGAGCACATTCCAGCTGTCATGGCCTTTTTCAGTTCTTCCAACCTCAAACATGCCTACTCATTACAACTTTATTTTTTTTTAAGAATTATTTTATTTAATATTTATTTATTTAGAGGGATAGAGTGAGCGAGAGCGAGAGAGAGAGAGAGAGAAAGCCGCCAGGTCTGAGACTCAAATATCGGTCCACCATATGGGAGTCCAGTGCCCTTAACCCCCATGCCACCTGCCAGCCCTATTCTTTTCAACTTTTAAAGTCTCATAATTATGACCTCCTTGAAGAGATTCTGCCTGGCCGTGTTCTCCAAAACAAACCTACAAACTCAGTGTTTTTAGTTCTGCTTTTCTTATGGCACTCCTTTACTCTTTTTTTTTTTTTTTGAGAGGTTTTTCACTATAGGGTGCTTGAGGTCGCCGAGACAGAGAGAGACAGAGAGACAGAAAGCGAGAAATCACCCCCCCAGAGGGGATGGCCACGCTGCAATCCCTTGTCCTCCATTCTGCTCTCGGGATCTTGGGCATGCACGCACACGCGCCCGGCGTGGGTTTTAAGCCACTGGGTCCAGGACGTGAACCGTGGTCAACTATGTGGGAGTCCAGCGACATAGCTATTGCGCTCACTGCTGGTTCCCGTCACTCCTTTACTCTTGTAATTATGTATTTTCTGTTTAACATGTTAATTTTTGTATCTTTACTAGACTGTGAGTCCATAAGGACACAGGCCATGTTAGTTTTGTTTCCTACTCTCGATACACTGCCTAGCAATGTGTCTTGTACTCAGTAGTAGTTAAGTAAGAATTTGTTAAATAAATAAGATGGGCCAAGCATTTATTATTTTTTTTTAAATTTTATTTCAAGATTTTTAATATATTCAATCAAATTATTTAGCTTGTAAAGTGAATATTCCAACATATGTGCATTTCTCCCTAGTCCAGTTGATAATAATATAAAGTTATCTTCAACAAATACCCTTTTTCTGTGTCCCATTAATGCTATGCCTATTTTTCTCCTCAATGTCCTTCCTCAGACTCTACTTTTTTAGCATTTTGTGTGGGAAAAGAAATTGGTTGATGACACTTTACTACACTCAGTTTGAAGGCTTGCATTATCCATCCATTTCCACTTAGTTGTTCATCTTCAACAAGGTTTCTCAATACTGAAGCTATTTTTGGCATCACTAAAGTAAAACGATAATTTTTGCCAGTGGGTTTCCCAAACTGACACCACACATGTTTGGCTGACTCTAAGAGATAAACAGACTAAATATTTTTTTACATTATTATGGGGCAATGGGCAAAATTATTTGTGGAAATGGGAGGCTAGAAGATTGAATTGTCTGGGAACCAACCAGTCCTTACTGCCATTCCCATAATTCTTCTGTAGGAGGATGGCTAAGGCTGTTGGGAAGTTAATTCTGACAAGCAGAGAACAATTTCCTGAGTCATTTTTAAAAAATGACTGTGAAGTTTGAGTCCTGGATCCATTGGCTTGAAAAACACATTGTGTATGCATGCATGCCCCAAATCCCGAGAGGAGAATGGATGAGAAGGGATTGAGGTGTTGTGGTCATCTCCCCTGGGGAGTGTTTTCTCTCTCTTTCCCCCTCTTCTCTGGCAAGCACATGTGCCCTATAGCAAATCAAACAGACAAAACCAAAACAGAATACTTCCATCTATGTTTCCCTGTCTCTATTTTCTTTTTTTTAATTTGCCAGTGGGCGCATGTGCGTGTCTGAGAGAGAGAGAGAGAGAGAGAGAGAGAGAGAGAGAGAGAGAGAGAGAGAGAAGGCAAGCACACCCCCTCTCCACCATGAAAGAGGGCCACATCATCATCCCTTCTCTATTTGTCTCTTTAGAGATTTTTGGGCATGTACTCACACATGCTCAGCATGTTTCTCAAGCTTCTGGGTCTGGGACTTGAACTGCTCTGTCGGCCATGTGGGGTACAGCCTCCTTTACCACCACCACCAGGGGCTTCCCTGTCTCTAAAAAAACCCCAAAATTTAATCTTGATGGATACACACCATCTATATAAAATTATTATCTATAGTTATGAAGAGGTTAATGCCATATTAAATGCAGCTAATATTGTCAACCATTGTATTTGATTCTCTATTTTAAGTTTGAGAACAAACAGTTGGAAATTTTTAGTGGTAGGAACTTACTGTGGCAGATAAATAAATTTAAGTTTCCTGAATTTTAATTACATATTTTCTTAACTATACAAATGTAGGAAAAAAAAACTTTAAGAGTTTATTTTTTGATGGTTATATTTTCTGACTCTAACGTGTTTTCTTGCCTCAGATTATAATTAGCCCACCTATTTTTGTCCTTTAGTCTTTTTTCTTCTGGAAAACTTAAGAGAGTAATTTACTTAACAAAATGGTAACCACTTAATTAGTAAGTGTGTGATCCCGCAGGTGGCGTGGTACTTATGGTGCTGGCTTCCCACACAACGGACCACGATTTGAGTTTACGACCTGGCAGCTTGCTTTCTTGTTTTCCCTTTCTCTTTCTCTGGTCAAATTAAAAAATAAAAATTAAATGAAATAATTCTTAAAAAAAGTAAATGTGTCTTATTCAGAAAACTACTCTCAGATATGTTTCTTGATTATTTGGAAAAAGAACAAATAGCTTTCAAATGCTGGTAATAACTTTGAGCTGTTGATTCTAGAGATATTCTTATCAAATAAAAGATGCTTCTAATTAAGAAAATTCATTTTTATCTCTTTCAACTAGTTTGCAAATATTACTAGGATAAAAGCGAAGACTTCTGTAACAATTACTATGTGCCAGATCCTGTGTTAAACAGTGTACTATGGTTTAATCTTGACCAATCCTCACAACTCTCTGAGCTATGTAATATTATAATCCACATTCTACAAATGCGGAAACTGAGTCTTGGGCAACCTGAAATTTATCCATTTAGCATACCATCCATCTAAGGTGTGGCAAAGCAGGGATACAAGTAGTTTGAAAACAAGTAGTTTTACTCTGGAGATCTAGTCCTAGATATTTACAAATATTGACTATTTACTTGTCTATGTTGCCCATGTAGAAGTTTTCATAATTGGGCAAATAATAAGTACGTGAATAATTAACTTCTTTCTGCTTTTGTTTTCCTGTCTTCTGAGTAAATAATCAGACTTTTATATGATGCCACCTCTGCTTGTCTGATAAATCTGTCAGTTAACTATTTGTACCTGAATGAGGGCCAGTAACAGGCAGACATAGTTCTTCCACAATCTACTATTAATCACATTGTAGCTACTCAAATGTTTTCCATCTGTATTCATTGTCTCCAGAGCTCCTGATTTTTCTCAGTACTTAAATGGAACACGATCCTCCCAGAAGACTCCAATTAGTTTTTTGTAAAAATGGTTTTCACTTGGTTGTTGGAAAATAGTTACCACAAATAGCCTTGGAGTGTGTTTCCCCTGTCTGGGGAAATATGGTTTTTTCATTCCCAGCAAGGGGATGGACTGAGCCTCTGCCAGGAGTTTTCAGACAGTGGAACCACTTCTGCCTCTTGTTGCCATTAGCTTGTACCATCCCAAGTATTACAGTTTTGTGTCAGTGTCTAATGTCTCTCCATATCTCAATCTTACCTGAAAAAATAGTTAAATTATTTCACAATAGAAGATAAATGTCCTAACTTAATGTGTTCATTGACTAACAGTCTAACGGGGGCAATGTATTGTAAAGACGAAGGCCATTAGAGAGGTTTTAATCCTCAACTTGGAGATTCAAACTGTATAGTGGAGAATTATCAGGAAAGATATTTTCATTGGATTGAGAAGCAGATTTTCTCAGAACTTTTCATAGGTGACTGTATCCTCTGGAAATCATTTATTTCTGTTCTTACTTAGCCTTTCTCTTTTCCATGAAAATCATTCAAAGGTCTTATTTAAAGTTGTGTCACATTTAATAGTAATATTTTAGAATTTTCCATTGATAATAATAATCTATTGATATTCCTCTTCTTATGGAATATTGATCAACATTATTTCAATTTCTAATTTGACGCTCTTAGTTCTATATAGTGACTATCTCTCATAACAAACTTAATGTACTCACCTCTCTGATGGTCCTTCATGGCTCCTGAGTACATTTTAACCATAAAGATTCTTAGTATGACTCAAAGCTGGGCAGGAATGGACTGGAAGTAAGCAAAGACCTAACTACCTCTGTCTCATGCACCCATACAATAGTACTCACAAAAATTCTGTGAGTGAGAAAGTTATCCTCGTAACCAATGTCCACTAATTGCCAGTCACTTTTCCTCTTAAGAAATTTAAAAGAAACAAATTCCAAATATATTGTTTCACTCCAGTAGCAGGAAAAATGTTAGTGTATTTTGGTTAACTAAGATAGAAAGACTGTAAAAATGGATAGAAACTCTCTTATGTTTGGAAATAGATAGTCTAGACTTTCTGAATAGGGAGGCAGGTCTCCCTCTAAATTTTACATTTACAAGAATGACAGCAGTTATATTGTTTTAGTCTGCAACAGGTGTGGGGAGGTAACTGACTGTACAAACAAAAGATTCCTTTGGGAGGCCAGGTTCAAAAGTCGCTAATTAATCTATAGTGTAATGAACTTGAATGAACTCTTTAAAATAAAAGCTTTAAATATATACCTTTGGGGAGATAGTCTTTGGAGACGAGAAAATGCAACAATAGGTGGTGAGGAAAACAATAAAGGTGAACCAACAAGTCAGAAGGCCTAGAAATAGTGTGTTTTGGTTGAACTCAGGGGAGAAGCTGCTCAGTATTCCCTAAGAAAAGCTAGATTTGTATGAAACCCTATCGTTCTGAGTCACAGAGAAAATTCCTCCCCTACCCCCATCTATTTGAAGTAGTTTTATCTTTTAGTAACCATTTTTCATAAGAGACATAAGTAATTGGGAGAATTTGTGTTTAGTTTCCCCATGTTTGACTTAAGTTTCAGTTAATTGCTAGCCAACCCCAAACAAAAATCGATACAAATAGTGCATGATTACTGCTCTGTGTATACATTTGTTTTTCATTCAGTTAATCAATACTTTTTTTTAGAGAGATTTTTGCTACAAGGTGTGTGCCCTTGCTGGAGAGACAGAGAGAGACAGAGAGACAGAAAACGAGAAATAACTCCCCCAAAGGGGATAGCCACACCACAATCCCTTGTCCTCCATTCTCCTCTTGGCATTTTGGGTACACACGCACATGCTTCTGGTGTGAGTTTTAAGCTGTCTGGGATTCAAACTGCTGTTGACTACATGGTAGTCCAGTGACGTAATCATTATGCCATCCGCTGGTTCCATCAAAAAAATTTTGTAGACTATTTTCTTCATTTAATACTTTTAAATATTTGACTGGAATAAATAAATGTGGGAATATCTAATGTTACAAAAACATAGCTAATGTTTTAGTCAGATATCTAGCACTAACGGAACTTTTCTTTGACTTAGTCCTGTGCTATGTAATCCATATGCATGTTGCCTCATGTGATCTTTATGTAAACTCATATGGGTGTGTTTGATTATCCTCATTTTACAGGTGAAAAATTTAGTAGAAAATTCAAGATTAAATAAAGTTCACAAATATTTTGTTGAGGATTTTTACATATATGTTAATCAGGGATATTGACCCATAATTTTATTTTCTTGTAGCATATTTGGCTTTGGTATTAATAAAGTTGGCCTTATAAAGTGATTTGGAAGTATTCTTTCCTCTTTAATTCTTTTTTCTTTTTTTTGGGGGGAGAGATTTTCACTATAGGGCGCGTGCGCTCGCCAGACAGACAGAGAGAGACATAGAGACAGAAAGCGAGAAATCACCCCCCAGGGGGGATGGCCACGCTGCAATCCCTTCTCCTCCATTCTCCTCTCAGGATCTTGGGCACGCACGCACACATGCCCGGCGTGAGTTTTAAGCCACCGGGTCTGAGACGGGAACCTCGGTCGACTACGTGGGAGTCCAGCGACACAGCCATTACGCTAACTGCTGGTTCCTCCTCTTTAAATTTTTATGAAGAGTTTGAGAAGAATTGGTATTAGTTCTTTAAATTTTGGTAGAATTCAGCAGAGAAACCATCTGGTTTTTGGATTTTTGTTTTTCCCACAAACATCTTATAGATACAGAAAAGTTATCTGGCAAAATTCAGCATTCTTTCATGACAAAAACTCTCAACTAATTAGACAGAGCAAGTATTCCTTAGTACAATAAAGGTCATATATGGCAAGCTCACAGTTACCACCACTTTCAACATTAAAAATCTGAAAGATTTTTCTTAAAATCAGGAATAAGAAAGAATGTGTACTCTCACTACTTCAACCAAACATAGCATTAGAAGTTGTAGCCACTGAATAAGAGAAGAAAATAAAAAACATTCAAATAGAAAAGAAGGAAGTCTATCTGTATAACATGGTCTTATAAATAGAAAACCATTAAGACTTCATCAAAAAAGAAAAGTGTTTCTGGAAATATTGTTGATAATATCCAAAGAGCAATGAGCTGAAATATGGTGTGGTTGGTGGAAATAAGAAAGAGAATTTTTAGAATGGAATAAATTATATGCATGTTCGTAAGAGTATGGGAGCAATCTGTTAGAAAGGAAAAACATTCAAGAGAAAAGGAGGCCAATTATCTTTGTCAGTGGATGTAGAGTTTATTGTGCAGTGGAGAGAAAGGTCTTTGATAGAGTGTGGAAATTTCATTTAGCATATCAAAGAATAACTCCAATCTATTATAGTTATAGGTATATAGATTTATATGTATTGTGGGAACAAATGCATTTAAGATATTTAAAAAAACAGGAAAAAGGGGATAAAGAGAAAAAAACACATACATATAGTAGGATGGAATACATTTTGCCTTTTTCTTTTTCTTTCTTTTTTTTTTTTTGAGATATTTTTGCTATAGGGTGCATGTGTTCTCTGGAGAGACAGAGAGAGAGAGAGAGACAGATAGAAAGCAAGCAATCACCTCTGGAGTAGGGGAAGGAAATGGCCATGATTCATTCCCTTCTTCTCCATTTTCCTCCTGGGATTTTGGGTACGCATGCACACACACACACACCCAGCACGAGTTTCAAGCTGCTGAGTCTGGGACTTGAACGACTGTTGGCCATGTGGGAATCCAGTGCCTTAACCACTACAACATTTGCTGGCTCCTTGTCTTTTTCTTACTGAGCTCCCTGATTGCCTGAAAGTTATCAAAGAGGCCAATCTGGGTAGTTAGTCCTAGAAAAACTTGGCTCAGTTAGCAGGGAAAACACTCCTATTTCCTAATTCTCTGAAAAATTTGGAATATACCAGCTAGTGTCATGTAGTGTCTGTCACTGTCCTTTTCTACTTTTACTTCTCAGTGAGTGCCAATTTAGTCATAATCCCTCAATATTAACAAGAGGAAAAATAAAGTATGCGCTCACAGATGCCAAGGAGCTGACTGAAGGTGATGGTGGGGTTGTAGAAGTTCATTTTTGATCGTTTGAGCCTTGAAAGGTGAATAATATATTTGATAATGAAGGAGGGATTGCTCAGATTAGGAGTTTGCATTGAAAGGAGCTAGTATATGATCTCCTAAGGTTGAAAGCAAAGGTATGGGGAAGTATTGGAAGACGACTATGGAAGGAATTTTAGAGCAGAGTACAAAAGCCCTAGGATACTATTTAAAGATCTTTGACTTTATTAATTTTTAAAAAAAGAATTATGAATTTAATTTAACTTATTATTGTCACTACTTTTTAATTTGCATGTGCATTCACCAGAGAGAGACAGAGACAGAAAGAGGGAAAGTGAGAAAATAAGCTGCCAGATCTGGGATTCAAACTGTGCTTGGCCATGTGGGAGTCCAACACTTTAACCACCACACTTCCTGCTGGCCCTAGGGTCTTTGACTTTAATCTGCTACAAAAGATAGCCATTGAAAAATCTGAAAAGAGGCAGAAAGATCGACTTGGAAATGTGACCAAAAAGTACAATATTGATTTCTCCATTTTAATTTCCTATTGGTGTGCATTTCTAGTAATCCAGACTTAACCCCCATGAATGACTTAGATAACTTCTGATTTTTATATCTGCTTTAGATGTCATTTTGCCCAGGGAGAAAGAGTTACTTAAAGAATCTGAGCAAAATTGAATACATTTTGTTAGATCCTATTCTCTTGTAGGAAATGTCTGTTTATTTCTTCACCTTTCTAAATCTTTCCTGGGTCTCTGGAGAGCTCTATTTCTCCATTGGGTCTGCCTGAATAGGAAGTAATATTGGATTCTGGTTGTACATGGACTCTGGATCCTGATTACCTGAGTTCAAATAACAGTTTTCCAACTATTAATTGGATGACTTAAGCTCTGTGCCTTAAGTCCCTTCTTGGCATATAAAGATAATAATAACTTATTGTTACTAGTTATTTATGGTAATATATTAATGTTAATAATACAATAAAGTACAGTTCATAGACAATTGAATCAATCGTATTATGGCTGTCTAAAATATTAAGAATAATGTCTGGCATACAGTAAGTGACATAAATGCTGTTGTTATTTCATTTGAACACAGGGATCTCCCTTTTATATGAAAACACTCATGATCTGTGCCACTCATGTAGCATCTCAATATATGTTGCCCATGCAAGTTCTTGTACTGTTAACCTTTCATCATTGTAATGTTTTATACATTGTGTTGATGCCCTGGAGCAGAGTACTTTTTTGCACTTGCTATATAGCATAGCAAAATGCTGGACATGCATTTAAGTATTTACTAAATTGTGAACAAAACGTGTTGAAGGCCAGAGGAGTTCTACAATTCTCTCTGTTCCTAAGAGAAATGATTATCTCAGCAACAGACATATTGCATTTTTGCAGATTTCTTAATATGCAAAGTCACAAAATTTTTTTCTCTCTTCAGAGCAACCGCTTTGGGAATAATTGTACTAACCAAACAATATGTTTCCTGTCCTGAGGGAATAATAATGATTCTTTGTTGCTTTCTTCAACAACAAAACTTAAAGAGATATTTAAGAGAAATCATCCCAGGGAGAATGGTGAGGAAGTTGCAATGGGAGCATCAAATACAGGCCATCAGCAGGATGAAGGGAAGAGCAAGAGATTTGGAACCTTGAGGTTGAACGTCATCCTTGCATTGAGTGGGTTGCAAAAGAGATCTTTAAGTTTTCTTTTAGGTTTGTCATTTAAATAGTTTCAAATTTTTCTCAATATGGAAAAACTAGTTGTTATTTAACTTGAGGATTGGATTTATTTCTTTGTAGACCTTATTGTTATTATTTTTTAAAGATTAATTTAGATTACAAAACAATTATGAAGCTACTACAAAGGATTCCATATATTCTATGCCTACTTTTCCCTCTTATTAACATCATATATTATCGTGATGCATTTGTTACAATTAATAAACCAATAGCAATACACTGTTATTAAACATAGCTCACGATTTATTAAAATTTTCTTAATTTTAAATGGATATCTATATTATATTCCAAGACCCTATCTAGGATACATTACATCAAGTTTTAAAAAATATTGTTTATTTAATTTTATTAATTATTATTATTACTTAAATTAACCAGAGAGAGACAGAGAAAGAGAGAGAGAGAGAAGGAGGGGAATGAGAAAGCAAGTGCCAGGTCCAGGGACTTGAACTGTGGTCAGCCATGTTGGAGTCCAGTGCTTTAAACACCATGCCACATGGTGGCCTAAATTGAGTTCTTATGTATCATTAGGCTTCCCTGTGTAGGACAGATTCCCAGATTTTCCTTGTTTTTGATGACATTGACAATTTTTTTGGAGAGATTTTTACATTAGTTTGCGTGTGCTCACTGGGGAGACGGAGAGAGACAGAGAAACAGTGAACAATCACTCCTTAGGGCAGATGGCTACACTGCAATCTCTTCCCCTCTATTCTCTTGGGATTCTGGGTCCACACACTTGGCATGCTTTCAAGTCACCAAGTCTGGGACTCAAACCACTGTTGGCCATGTGAGAGTCCAGCACCTTAACCACTATGCCACTTGCTGGCCCCTGACTTTGACATTTTTGAGGAGTATTAGTCAGGTATTTTGTAGGATTCCCGATTATTGAAATTTACCTGATGCTGCACTGAAGAAATGACAGAGGTAAAGTGTGACTTTTATCACACTATGCCAAGGACACTCACTATCAACACGTTTTATGACTGTTCATATTGCCCTGGATCACCTGGTTGAGATAGTATTTGTCAGATTTCCTCACTGTAAAATTTACCTCCTCTCCTTACACTTTCCTTACTGTACTTCTTGGAAGGAAGTCACTCTGTGTAACCTCCCCACATCTAAGGAGTGAGTAGTGATGTTCCCATTCTTTAGAGTGGAGAATCTATATATTAATACATTATTCAGAATACTTCTGCAGAGAAGAGTTATCTCTTCTATTTATTAATTTGTGCAGTCATCTGTTTGCATTAGTATTGACTCTTGGATATTTATTTTATACTTTGGGTTTTATAATCTAATCTAACACTATTTTATGTATTTTATTCCCAAATTGTTCTATCTTTGCTTGGGGAGCTCTTGTAGTTTTTTGTATTCTTTTCTTTTCTTTTTTTAATTAAAAAAATATTGCCAGATGGTGTGTGTGTTTGAGAGAGAGAGAGGGAGAGAGGCATGGTCATTTGTAACCCTTTCTCCTCCATTTCTCCAACATGTCGGGATCTGAGGCACACACACATACCTGGTGTGTTTTTCAAACCGCTGGGGCAGGATTGGAACTGAAGTGGACTATGTGGAATCTATTTAGCTTTTTATGCACAGCAATGAACTCTTGTTACGGGACTGACCTGGTTTCTGTGTTTCTTTGATATACACTATCAATGTGATTGCATTTATTTTATTTTCCAGGGAAGCCCATACTTTAAGAACTGTTTGAGAAGACAAGGGAGGGGATGAACTTGGGAGATCCTGCATGCATTGTACACGTCTTCCTCCTTTCTGAGAGTGAACTTTAAGCTCCCTGAGACCAGAAACCTTGTCCCATCTTTTCAGTGCCTTATTCTCAGTGCATAAAATGGTGCCTGCCACATAGCTGTTACTCAATAAATATTGAGTGAATAAGTTAAAGAAAAATGATGGGTTTTGGGTGAAAGTGGGAGAAATATTTTTCATGCTTGTCTTAACTATTTTATCCACTATTTTGTCTCCTTTGTATCTTATGGCTCTTCATTGCCATACTCTCATTTCCTTATTCAAATAGCAAGAGCAGATTTAATGTGAGGTCTACGTGTTACCAGATCAGATTATGTCCAATTAAGAAGCAAGAATGTGGATTCATTAAGATTGTTGAAGGAAAAGTTATAGAGTGCAATTATGAAATAATGTATAAGTACTAAGAGCATCTCTAATTTTATATTATTGAGCTAGATGAGCGTTCAGGTCATGTAGTCAAATCTGTTTCTGCAATTGACAGCTAATCTGGAGGTAGTAAACTGGCATTTATTATCAAGAATTTATTACTTTTATTTTTAAAATTTTTGCTACAGGGCACGTGCACTCATAAGAGAGAGAGAACAGAAGAGAGAGACAAAGTGAGAAATCACTGGCAGGTGGGTGGCCATGCTGCAATTCCTTCTCCTTCATTCTCTTCTTAGGATTTGGGCACACATTGACATGTACCTGGCATGATTTTCAAGTGGCTTGAACCACTCAGTTGGAGGATTCAGCACCATCCTCCCCATGCCACCTGCTGGCTCTCAATACATTTTTAAATACTCCTCTGTCAAAGACATTGTCCTTGGAGAATTGTGAACACAAGACTAAACTTTAATAATACAAACTGATAAGGTTATAATAACAAAATAAGTGAAATGGGCAATATTTCCTACGGGGGTCTATTACATGGAAAATGACTTTGGGCCATAGAAATGAAGGAAGCAAAGTGGGAGATTGACGAGACTGAAAAATGGCTAGTATTTGAATAAGAGATAAGAAACAAGGAAGAGCATGTTAAGTAAATGACTATTACATAAAAAAGCTCAGGTTTTGATTAGGGTTAATGTTGAAAAGTAGAAAATATTTGGATTGGTGAGGCTGAGCAGATATTTTGGCAAACTCTTGATTGTCAAGGAGTTGAATTTCAAATTTGGAGGCTTGAAGGTTTGGGTGACTTCAAGTAGTGAATCAAAATAGTGTTTTGGGATAAGACAAAATGTATTGCTTGGGATAAATAACAGAGCAGAGATTAAAAACGGACTCTGTCTCTCTGTCTCTTTAAAAGGTCTCTCTGTCTCTGGTGAATGTATAAGCTTATAGCAAAAATTTCTCTTTCTCTCTAAAAAAAAGAGAATGTTCTTAAATTTCCCCAAATCATTCAGAGCAAATAATAAGATTAATAGATATAAACTCAGCTTGAAGATTCGTAACTCTTGTAAAGTGACCTACCCAACTACTAAGTACATACATGCATCATATAGATGTATCTTAAATTAATAGAACAGAGATTAGAGAACATTTAGTGGATTTTGTTAGTGTTTAAATTTGTCTTTTCTAAATACAGAATAGTGGCACAGTGGTATAAAGCAGTGCTCTTTGAGGCTGACCACATAGAATGTTCCAGATTCATTGCTGCGTAACTGCCACCTGTATTTTCCTTTTCTCTCCCTCTTCTGTAGCCCCCATCTATTTTCTTTCCCACACTATGTTGAATTTTATTTTATTTATTTAGCACCAAATTCACCTTAGAATATACCAGATGAACACTGAAATGTACCTTTGAATATTCTTTTCAAATTATTACCTTCTAGGGAACCAGCAGTTAGCGTAATGGCTATGTTGCTGGACTCCCACGTAGTCGACTGCAGTTCGAGTCCTGGACCTGAAGGCTTAAAACTCATGCCAGGCACATGTGCGTGCGTGCCCAAGATCCCGAGAGGAGAATGGAGGAGAAGGGATTGCGGCGTGACCATCCCCCCTGGGGGGTGATTTCTCGCTTTCTGTCACTATGTCTCTCTCTGTCTGTCTGGCGAGCGCATGTGCCCTGTAGTGAAAATCTCTCCCCGCCCCCCCCAAAAAATGATTACCTTCTAATCTGTAATGTTCTTTTAAAATCAAGGATAAGGTAAGTCTGGATAGCCGGATAACTCACCCTACCAAGATTTGGTTACCCTGCTTCTAAATTCAGGGCTTGTTCTACTTTGGCCTCAAAGCACCATCAATGGCAATGTTGGAGGAAGACCTGGAACAATTGAAAATCTTGTTCTTTTTCTGCAGTCATAGCTTATTTCAGGACTCAGTACATTAAGATAGTTTCCAGAAAGACTAGTAGAAACATTTTTGTGAATAAATTAAAAAGAACACAAGTGGTTATCTTAATTGATTTTGAAATTGCCCCAATAACATCTACACATTTGTGAAAAAGGGATGTTTTCAACAAGAAAGTAAGCTCTGCACTGCACGGTTTTGTTTTGTATCACCTTCTGAGCTTCAGTACAGTCTTTAATTACCCTTGAACAGTTGGAGGCTAGATGCTGAAGTATTTCCATCAAAAGTGAATTGGCCTCTAGGTATTTATATTTTACATAATGAGAAAGCCAAATGAGCACAGCTGCAGGTTTTATTTATTTGCATTTCCTTTTTGTGACATAGGCATCTTAGGAATATAATGATTGGAAAATAGGATTATTGAATAAACTATTCTGCATAAAATTTACTTAAAAGAAGTAGAAATAAAGAATTTAATTTGGCTTTTGGATATAAGACAAACTTGTTCATAGGTAAAAACTAGCTTGATGAAATCTATGGACTAGGAAGATACCGTATAATTGGCAAATTCATTAATGTTGCTCATGGGTTATTAATATTTGAATTTAATAACATCTCAAAAAACAATAGTTTCTTACTCTTTCATAAAAAAAGCAATCCGTTTTACTGTGTTCATGAAGGCTTCCTTGACTTGCTTGTTCCGAAGTGTATAAATAAACGGGTTGAGCAAAGGGGCCACCGAAGTAGTGAGTACAGACACCACTTTATTAATGGCCACTCCTTCCTTTGCTGAAGGCTTAATGTAGATGAAAATGCAGCTGCCGTAGGTGATAGAAACCACAATCATATGGGAAGAACAAGTAGAAAAGGCTTTTTTCCTTTGTTGGGCAGAAGGAAATTTTAGAATGGTCTTGATGATATATGTGTAGGAGAGGACTACACACACCAGGGTGATAATGAGAGTCAGTATGGCAAAACTCAAGACGATTCTCTCTAAAAATGCTGTATCTGAGCAGGTTATCTGCAGAATGGGAGATGTATCACAGCCAAAATGATCAATCACATTTGAGTCACAGAATTCGAGCTGGAGGCCTATGCCAAGTGGTGGGAGGATGATTAGTAGGCCAGCAAACCAACAGCAGAGAACAAGTATAGTGCAAACTCTGTTGTTCATGATGGTTGTGTAATGCAGTGGCTTACAAATGGCCACGTAGCGGTCATAGGACATGGCGGCAAGGAGAAAAAATTCTGTTGCTCCAAAGAGGACAACAAAAAATAATTGAGTGGCACAAGCATTATAGGTAACAGTATTATCACCAGTTGTCATCGTGTACAGGAATCTGGGAATACAGACAGTAGTGAAGGAGACTTCTAAGAGAGAGAAATTTCGGAGAAAAAAATACATGGGAGTTTTGAGGTGGGGGTCTAAAAGTGTGAGGGTGATAATGGTGAGGTTCCCAGTTACACTTAACATGTAGGTGAGAAACAAAAATACGAAAAGCACAATTTGTAGTTTGGGATCATCCGTCAGTCCCAACAGGATGAATGTTGTTATTGCGGTATGATTTCTCATCACTGTCTTGCACCAAGTTAAGAGCGATTAATCCTGAAAAGAGAAGTGTCCTAAGAAGCTGGCATTGGAACCTGAATGAAAGCATTCCAGCAAGCCAGCTCACATGCACTTTATCTTTTTTCACGAGATAATTTGTTAACATAGCCATGCCTTTGGCATCTCACAAAGAGGCTTCTATGTGAAATATCTAATACGAGTCTCATACTGATAATTCTCTGATTAGAAAGTCATAATATAAAAAAAAATCATATGACCAGTATACAGTACCTCAACAATATAGTAGTTTTACTTGTCTGTATCTTGAAGAAATTATGACACTTTTGAATTATTTTCTCTCATCCTCATCTTTCTTACCTCATCATATGGAAATGCTCTATTTTCAAAATCAAGAAATATCTGCTATATATCATATTTTTTTGTCGACTATTTTATCTTACAGTACATTTCAGCAGTAGCACTTTCATTTAGAAGTGTTCTGCTCTTTGCAGTTCAAGTGATCTCTAAACAAGGAGCTGAAAAATTAAAACTATGAAGGTGTGTCTTTGCTTTGTCATTCTTGTTTTTAGGTGAATGAAATCATTTCTAAGCCAGTTTTGGGACTACTTAGAGAATTTCCCGCGTCCTCTGAAGTGGTATAAAGAAAAGGCTCTGGAACCCGAGAGTAAACCTGATTTGTTGCTGTTGTCATGCTTTGGGTCAGGGACAGAGCCCAGAAGGGTGGATCTGTGGGATTTGCTTCCTTTGCCATTCTGCTCAGCCCTGTGTTCTTAGCAGCACTCAGCCTTCAGGATCGGTCTCAGGTTTACCTTTGTGACCTCTTCCTTGAACAATTCTTGTTGCTTCTCTCCTCAAATCCCTTCTCCCAATAATTTACCAGTCATCTCCTAACCCTGCTGCGTATGTTCTCTGAGTGTTTGATACATAACTTGCCCAAGCAATATCCAGGAGCAAACGGACTGTATAAACCTACCTTTTATTCAGCATTGACCACTGTCCATTTCAGCACCTCCTGGCAGTTTCAATCCTCCCTGTACTCAATTTGTAATTACTATTATTTAAAAAAAATTCCATTTGATGTAGGATCAGGGAATTCTCCTCTTTGCCACAAACTTACCGTCATAGCGATTCGTATTTCAAGCAGCTGCTCTGAGAAATCCATGCTGTAAAAGAAGATGTGATACATTTATTGTCATGGAGACAACAGTAGTTAAACAATAATTTACAATATGTATTCATGTTTTATGTTTTACTGGGGGGATTAATTGTTAAGTGAGTGATTTCAGGCATAAGTCAAAGGCTTACAGAGAAACCCTATAAATTTCTTTTTAAAAATAATTTAAAAAATTATTTTAACTTTATTTATTTGTTTTTATTTGACCAGAGAAGGAGGAAGAAGGGGGGAGGGAAGAGAGAGAGAGAGAGAGAGAGAGAGAGAGAGAGAGAGAGAGAGAGAGAGAAAGAGAGAGAAAATGAGAAAGCAAGCTGCCAGGTTTGGGACTTGAACCATGGTCAGCCATATGGGAGTCCAGTGCCCTTAACCATCATGCCACCTGCTGGCGCTGAAACCCTAGAAATTTCTACATGAGAAGAAAAAACTAATTTTTTATGTGTTTAAACCAATTTTCCCGATTGTACCCAATGTGTGTGCTTGTAATAAAGAATAAAAATTACATTAAGTTTCTCATCTTCCCTACTACTCAAGTAAGTAATTGACATTCATTCATTCTAATAATTACTTAATGTGCAGTTATTATTACAAGCATATCAGAGACTAGAGATTCAGCTATGAATGGGTTTCTCACTAAAGGGGCTTTCAGGCTGACATGACCTACGTTTTATGTTAGTGTATTCTCAGTGACATAGTAAACAAGATAGCAGTGAAAATGCAGCTTTGTCTTGGGGGCAATAAGGACCCCATATTTGTTCCTTGACAATTGTCATTGGTTATACTGAGAGCTATTCATTTTTTACCATGTTCACTTACTTTCCATTGGCTCTTTCATTTTTACTAAAGTAGGTATTGTCAGCTGTTGCCAAAAGCTGAGTTTTCAAGGCATATTGCTCAGGGTTTACTAACATGATTGTTTCCCCCAATATATTCACTTTCTCCTTCCCTGGTTCTTAGGAGAAATTGTTTAATTTAAGATGATATCTTGCCATGGATTTACCAGGGAGAAGACTTACAGACTGTAAAGAATGACATGCCATGTTTATTTCTGCACCCTAATTATCCCCCCTCCCATCCCCTTTTCTTTCCCTTTCTTTTTTCCTTCCTTCATAGAGCACTATAACTCTTTGTTCCAGCCCTTGACATGGGAATCTATAAGAAGGGTGAATTTGTAGACATCAAGGGAATGGGTACTGCTCAAAACAGGAATGCCCTACAAATGTTACCACAGCAAAAGTGGAAGAGTCTACAATGTTACCCAGCATGCTGTTAGCATTGTTGTAAACAAACTAGTTAACGGGAAGATTCTTGCCAAAAGAATTAATGTGAGTATTAAGCATATTAAGCATTTATTTATTTATTTTTTGTGAGAAAGATTTTTGCTATAGGGTGTGTGCACTCACCGGAGAGACAGAGAGAATTACTTTTCTTTTTCTTTCTTTCTTTCTTCTTCTTCTTTTTTTTTTTTTTGACCTTTATCAATAGTCATACCAATGTTCTATTTTATCAGAAAAATTTTTCTGGGATCCTGAGAGTTACTTATTTCTTTTTTAGTTTGAATCACTCAAGGTTTGAAAAAAATTCATTAAATAAATGATAATCTTTTCCACCTTCCTCCAGTAGGGAGTGTTTTTAGTTAACATTAACAAGTAATTGTTGATGACTTAACATGGGCAAAACTAACTACTCTCACTGTCATTTTGGTACTACAGAGGTGATTGAGACTCAAGTTTTTTTTTTTTTTTTCCTTCTTAGATTGTCTACTGGATCTGAAAATATATTTCAGACAATTTGACCTTACTTACATTTGGAACAAACCTTATTCAGTCTTCATTTGGGATAGAGGCTGTCCATGTACTGGATTGAGATTCAGGAAGAATCTGAATGCTGCACCTCCCCGAAGAGTGGCAGAGAGGACATAAGTAACCGATGGATAAGGAGGTAAGATTCCCTGTGAGACAGTTTCTAATACTGTTGCTATCTGATTTCCATGGCACTGGTGGATATTATTGGCAGAAGTGTTTTTCCACAGCCTTTTGTATTTCTATTAAGTAGTAATGGTCTCCTCAATCGATATGACTAGCCCTTTCAAAGAGTAAGAGTGACCATCACAGGAAATTTCTAGTTTCTTGTTCCTTCAGAATAACAACACATCAGAAATGACTGCCATTCCCCTTTCTGAAGTATCAGTTGTGATGAGCTGAATTCCATGTTTTAAAACTGACTATACTCATCCTCTATTTATATCTAAAGAATATGAAAAAACATATCAATTACATACCTTCTTTTCAGGCAGCTGTTCTTTAGAGGTCCTTGAAGAAATCACAAGTCGAGGAGCCTTAAGCTGGCATGTAGGTTTGTGTGTACTTCAATCCCTACTCTCATATCTCAACCCCAACCTCACACTCTACACAAGTATGCACTTGTGCATATGCACGTGTGCATGCGCGCACGCACACACACACACAGTTTTTAATGCATACCCACTTATGGGAAAGTCTGACAATGGTCAGTGTAGCCTAGATTTCATTACTCCTAAAATAATAAGAGCAGGCTCATGCCCCTATCCCCTTACCACATGTACAATGGCTTTGATACTAGAGTTTCCAGTTACTCTGTTAGTTGAAAGGGAGAAACGAGGAATGTAGAGAAAAAGAAGCAAATTTTTTTCATTTTGTTAGACGAGCATATCTAATCTCCTTGGGCAGGGAGGCAGGCTTCCCTGCAATTTCTATGATGGCAATGTTTGTTTTATATGTTTAGTGTGCTCCTAGTGCACAGGGAACATCTGAACAAACAACAAAATAGTCCTTGGTGACCAAGTTTCAGAAGTTACTAATGAATTGGTGGCAATCTAATCAACAATGAAGATAATAGCATGTGTCAATGGGAACCATGTCCTTCGAGGCATTGAGGATGATATGATGTCATCTAAATTCCATTTTGATTTCTTATTTAAATCTTAATATTTATCTTAAGATTATATGCTCTGGGGAACCAGCAGTTAGCGTAATGGCTATGTTGCTGGACTCCCACGTAGTCGACCACAGTTCACGTCCTGGACCCGGTGGCTTAAAACTCACGCTGGGTGCGTGTGCGTGCGTGCCCAAGATCCTGAGAGGAGAATGGAGGAGAAGGGATTGCGGCGTGGCCATCCCCCCTGGGGGGTGATTTCTCGCTTTCTGTCTCTATGTCTCTCTCTGTCTGTCTGGTGAGCGCGTGCGCCCTATAGCGAAAAACCTCTCCAAAAAAAAAAAAAAGATTATATACTCTGCTTGGTACTTTATATAATCTGCAACATATGATTGATCTTTGGGATAAATCTCATTTAAGGTTAAAAACAACTTTTTTTTTTTTTAAAGATAAAAAACCCCTGGAGGAACAGAGAAATGACTTGAGTGCCCCACAGTGGTGGTAACATGTTTTGGAGAAAATTTGCTGAAAACAAACATCTTATTTCTTCAGCATTCTACACTTGCTCTTTGTATCAGTATTATTATTATTTTTGGGAGAGGTTTTTGCTATAGGGTGCGTGTACTCGCCAGACAGACAGAGACAGAAAGCGAGAAATCTCCCCCCAGGGGGACTAGCCACACCACAATCCCTTCTCTTCCATTCTCCTCGGGATCTTGGGCATGCATGCACACGTGCCTGGCATGAATTTTTTCAGCCACCCGGTCCGAGACGCGAACCATGGTCGACTACATGGGAGTCCAGCGACATAGCCATTATGCTGACTGCTGGTCCCTGTATCAGTATTTAATAAGTTTACCAGCATTTAAATTTCAAACCTTATATTCTCCTAGTGTTATGGGATTGCATTTTCATCATT